AAGTTTTTTTTTCCCTGTTGTTGTTTTTTCAGGCACTACTTCCAACAAATTTCCCTCAACATTTTAGAGTTAGGGAAGATTTGTTAACAAACCTAGTTTCTATTTTTACTTACTTCTGTCAGTACATAGACTCCACCCCCCAGATACCTAGAAAGGTATACAATACTGGTAAGAAGCAGGTGACACTCCCAGCAGCATTGACTTCTGTAGACCCCAAAGATGAACGTGCAGGACTCCCCGCCCCCACAAGATAGTATAATTAAAGTTCTCACTTCCTTTCAAGTTCCTTGAATCTTTTGCGGCAAAAGAAATCTCTAAATTCACTGGAACATTTTTCATTAGGCAACATTCAGTGACAAATTTATTCAAAAGAACATCAGGGAGTAAAGCATGGACTTAATTGTTTCGACCTTCAAAAACTATCACTGCTGCCATCCCATTAAAGATCCTGCTACTTCAGGTAAGAAAGAAGGCAGATTTCCTGTAGGAAATTTTTTAATTCCTTTTGGAATTTAAAGGCAGTGCCTTCGGTCAGTTTGATAAGAGAGTGTAGCCCTTGCAACCCTTCATTTAAAACCATATGATGGTAACTGCTCGGGAAGGAACATTTGAAAATGAAGGAAGAAAATGGAAATGGTTCAATACCCTTCTTCCCCTATCACTTCTTCACACTCAAGGATTCCTTCAATGAGGGATCAGCACTTGGGCTTAAACATAACATGGCATTAGCTCCTAAGGACAAGAACACAAGAAATTTGGTCATGATACCTTCATGGTAAGTCAGTGGCAAAGGCAGAGGTCATTTCGGGGGGGATCGCGGGGGATCGCAGTTCCCCCGGGTGAGGTACGGGGGGCGAGGCAAATGATGAAGCCCCGCCCCCTGCTTCCGGCCACCCTGCTTCCGGCCCTCATTCAGCCAGGAGGAGGCAGGAGTAGAGGGAGGGTAAGTTGCTTCCTCCCTGCCTCTCCCCACCCCTACCTGGGGCCAGGGAGGGCCTTTGCGGAGCTTCCTTGCACTCCCGCCGGCCTTGCAGGTCCACTGCTGGGCCCCTCATGGGGCTCGGCAGTGGAGCTGCAAGGCCGGCAGCGGCAGCCGGGACCGTTGGGGGTGGGGTGTGTGGTCTTATGACACACTTCCGGTGATGTCAGGGGGTGTGGCATATGCTAATGAGTTATGCTAATGAGTTCCCCTAGCTGTTTTTCTACGAAACGACCCCTGGGCAAAGGGATCCTAAACAGACTAGTAATCTTCAGGGTCTTCCTCTATAAACTAACTTTGGATGCCTCCTGTATGGAAGGTTGGCTGTGATTTGGGACAAAAGCAATGACACCAAACTGAACTGATATCTAACACATAATTGCATCTGCAAACTGAAATTAAGAACATTTGAAGCAGATCGTGAAAGGGACAGAAGCACCACAATTGGCAACGACTCAGGTGGTTTCCAAATTAACAGGAAGGTGAGTCTCACAAAACAAGAGAACTGTCATGAACATAACCAGTTCATTCAAAGCAAATCCCATTTCACCGTATTTGGGAGCCCTTGACCACAGAGAAACTTAGAAGGACTGCGTTTTGTGACAGTCACGGCCAAGCTGTTCACAGGGAACTTGTACAACTGGATATTTTAGTTCTAGCCTATCCACTTGGCAAGTAAAACTAATCAAAGAGTGCTTTGCAGTCCTGCTGCTGCCTGTGTATAAATAGCTCCACTAACACCCCCAAATTGTCTTACAAACAGTGGGCTATTAAAACTGGACTCTTAGAAGTGGCCTGAGGCACCTTTCTGCATCCCAATAGGGTACAGTAAGGAGGGGCTAATGAAGGGCTGTTAGGAGTTTTATTTTTTTTCCTGGCAGCTCTAAGCAAAATGCAAAATGTTCTCAGGATGTGCATTAAAGCTATTCCACATTTTATTCCATACACAGTTTTTTTTAAATGGGGCAGTTACCATGCAATACGTGTGAGTTAGATGAGTGTTAGATCACCAGCTTTATTATGGGACATGAGTATTTAAACAGGGTTTGGTAAATCAGGCAAAATACACCCTCCTGCTACCAAACCATTACCTAGAGAATAAAGTGGTCCTGAGAATACTGATGCTGGTTATTTTTATATTGCTATATTGGGAAAAATCACAGAAAGGACAGGGAGAACCCTGGAAGTTCACTGGAGCACCCCAATGCTCCGGGGAAGCCAGAATATACAACTGCTTCCCAATAGCATGCAAGACAGGCCACACAATGTGTATGTCAGTGACCTAAGTAACAGCTTTTAGGAGACAGAAATCCAGAGGCCAATGTGTACCAATTAAGATAAACTACAGTGGTAACAAGAATGTCTTGAAATAAGCTGGTGCTTCTGTGTGAGAATGATTGTGAAGTGGGTGCCAAGGTGAGCCAAATTTAGGCACTGGTACCTTTGGGAAATCTTATATCTCCTCCTTCAGTGCCAGTTGTGCTGACAAATGTTTGTCATGCATCTTCACAAAGTTTCTACACTGCTGCCAAACTCTTCCCCATGATTCAGTAAGCCCTAAACCTTGTGCAGGAGATTGTTGCTTTACAGCTTTTCCATGAGATTTCTGTGTAGATATTACCCCAGTCATGGGACAGAGGATCCACTTCATCTTTCAAATGGATCTGTGGCTTGCGTAGGCAAAAATTACTCAGCAAAGATACTGGTGTCATGATTGATAAGAATCGTGTCAAAGAGGTATAAAATATGCCATGGCCTCTTTTATCACCATGTGATGAAAGAATGTATCACCCTTTAATTGATGGTCATAAAAAGAGATACAATGAACAATGGAGGAAAACTCTGATGGGGTGTGAACAGCAGGCTCTTGAATTTGGGGGAGGGGGCTATTTGGAGTTTTTATTTGCTTTTACTCTATAGTGATTTAATAGCTACTTGATCAGGGTTGCCAACTCCAGGTAAGGCCTGAATATATCCCAGAAATACTGACTAGGGTTGCCAATCTGCAGATAGGGGCTGGAGATCTCCCAGAATTACAACTGATCTCCATGCAAAAGAGTTTAGTTCCCCTAGAAGGGGAAGTCCCTCCCCTTAACGAATTCCACCTTCCCAGGCTCCACCCCTAAATCTCCAGGAATTTCCCAAGTTATGATTGGCAACTTCAGTTACTACTGATCTCCAGAACAGAGATCAGTTCCCTTGGAGAAAATGACTGCTTTGGAGGGTAGACTCCATGATATTATACTAGGGTTACCATTTGCCCGGTGGGGGTGGGGGATCCCCCGTTTTTGCAGGCTCCTGCCTGCCACCAACCAGCTGGCCAGTGGGAGGGAATCCCCCAAACACAGAGAGATGTTGCACACAATGTGCCTAAGTCACCCCGAAGTGACATTTGCACATTGTTGACATTGGCAGGTGACACTCTGGATTTTGGGCAAACTCTATGGTTTGATGCCAATTTTACCATAGAGCTTTGCCCCAAAATCCAGAGCACTGCTCCAGACATCGCCGATGTGCCAACATCACTTCCGAGTAAAACAGGCACATTGCATGCGATGTCACTGTTTCAGGGGGAAGGGGGAATGTCCCCCTTCTGGAATGTCTCCCCATCCCCCTGCCAGCGGGTAAAAGGGACCTGGCAACCCTATATTATACATGGTGAGATCCCTCCCCTTCCCAAAATTCCAGGAATTTCTCAACCTGGAGTTTACAACCCTATATTTAAGTCAAGAGGAAAGGCAGGGTATAAATATTTTAATAAATATATTGATTTTCATAAATTATGTGGGCATAAAAATATTTTATAAACTGTTGAATGGTCATTGGGGTAGAAAGGTATAATGCACGAGAGAGAGAGAGAGAGAGAGAGAGAGAGAGAGAGAGAGAAGGCAATTCATTTATAGCCAACAGCATAAAAGAAGTGGTATACGCAATGTCTGAAGCCAGTAGTAGAGACTCTACTTATTGACATATATAGAGTCAATGCTGATCCGGACATCTTTCTGCCCACTTTTTTAAAGAAGAAAAACAATCCTGGACACTCCAACCATGAGTAAAGAATGGTGGCGAGGAGGGTGCTTACCTTTTCACTGATAGCCATATCGTTGATTGAAATCTCCTCCACACACTTTCCACTGGGGGAATAGCTGGGGGAATTTCAATCAAAAAACAGCCAAGAGGGAAGGGGTTAAGCACCCAGCTCTTTGTTTATTACAGCCCTGGAAGGCTTTCTCTTTATTAAAAAAATAAAGATTATATACATGTGTGTGTAATGTCTAGTCTGGCCCTTTGTCTCTTCTCTCAGAGCTGGATGATCACCTTTGGCTGTGAGTTTTCTGTGGCCCACAAACCAACATTTTATTTACTCACTTTGTTCAGCCTGCCCCCTTGCAAGTGAAGGCTACATATGACAATAGTAAAACACTGAACAAAGAATAGGAAAGGAGCATTCTCTGTGGATGAATATTTCCTTGGAGTTGAGAAATACAGAATTTAGGAGAATAAAACCTGTTCATTCACTGATACATATCATTGATATAAGCAAATAAGCCTTTACACTATGCTCTCCAAGCAATATTTTGGGATGGCAAAGTTTTAAAAAATGGCAACAAGAATTCTTTCAATTTCTTATATCAGTTTAGTTTTTCAGCTCTTAAATATTTCAGATAAAACGGCTTTTTATGATGTCATATTCACACTATGTTACTAGAAACATAGGCACATTAGCCCTTTGCTTTTGGGACAATACCTGAAAATATAATCTGAAAAACAAGTTAACATGATGCATTCTTCTTATTCATTATTTACATAGCATTTTGCAGCACAGTTTGATTTACCATTTTATTTCCCACATTCTCAAAAAAGACATTACAGGGCACCTGAAGACACCATTCATGCAATCTGGTCCTTCCCCACCCCCACCTCAAGTGTTTGTTTCAAGCTCCCACAGTTGGAATTCTTACTCATTTTCACCCTTGTCCTTAAAAGGGCAACCTTCCACTCTAGCAAACACAACACTCACCTGGAACACGATTGGCATCTGATGAAGCATTTTCATAAGAAGCAGGAAAGGAGAGAGAAAGAGAGAAAGAGAAAGAGAAAAAGTATTAGACACATGCATGCATCAACAAGCAGCTAAGCTTCTTTGCATGGAAAATCAATTTCATGCAAAACCAAGTTTGCTTGAAAGTCACCCATCTATAGCAAGAATCCCAACCATGCAAGGGAAAAGGGCTTTGGCTCCTCCTCCGCTGTGCATGTAGAAATAAATCTGATGCCATATCTGTCTGGAGAGAAAGAGGGGTTCCGGAATCAGATAGACCCAAGCTAAGTCAGCTCCTGCAAGAAGAAGAATTGGTGCTGTTTCATTTCACACACAGTTTCAGACAAGCAAAAAATAACATTGCCCCTGCAGCAGGATACTTTCATTCACATAAATTCAAGAACATTCAAGTTACAGTGGGGAAAGAGAGGCATCAGCTCCCCTTTCAGAAAGGGTTCATATGAATTTATGACCAGTTGCTGGGCTCCAAATTCAGTCCCAAAGAGCCAGGGAGAAAACTAGCTCTTTCACTTCTTCCTGACCACTGTTCCCTTTGACCATCCTTCACTGCAGACAATATTCAGAGTTTATTGGTGTTTCTATAGGTCATCTTTCACCAGGAAGTGGCCATACTTCAGCATATGCTTCACATACAGAAGAATCCCAGGCTAAAAACTGGGCATTGGACCAATGGTATGACTTGCTAAAATGCAGTTTTGTATGTTCAGATCTATAGATACAATTCAAACACCATCCCATACATTTTCCCCACACACAATGCAAGAGCTCTGCCATGTGATCAAATTAACCCTGAAAAGTATTTTTAAGGAAACACACAGAAAAGATTATGAGTCAAATTTGATTAAGTTTATAATCTAGAGTAACACTGAAACACAACCTATCTGTTTCAGTCAACATAGCACATGGGGAGGGGAGGAGAAAGCTATCTGATTCTGAATTGGAATGTTGCATTTTCTAAATATTGTAAATCACTTCAGTGAATCCAGCTGAAAAGGTGGATACAAAAATCAAGAAAGCAAACAAAGAGATACACTTCTCTTTTTTGTTCTTGATAGTTTAGTCATCCCAGATATTTACATTTGCCATAGCACACCTGTCAAAATCATCTCAGATCTCACAAATAAAGCTGGTCAATAGCTCAGTATTAGAAGTGAACTTGAATGGATACCTCAGAGTGTTGCTACATGCGTTTTGTCTCAGATCAACCTATAAATACAACCCCTTACCAGATTCACAACTAGTAATCACATGTCCAGCCAAAATAGTTAAAAACTGGCTAATCCAGTCTCCAACATTCAGTGAATATGAGCCTTATTCAAATGTTGTCAATGGATGATGGTACTTTAATAATTCTTCCTGTTAGCACGTGTAGAGATTCTACAAAAGCCTTTGCATGTCCTATATCACATTTACACACTGAGTAGTGCTAGAGATATTATGCCTATCAGAGGTCATTTTGGGGGGGATCGCAGTTCCCCCGGGTGAGGTACGGGGCGGGGCACATGACGAAGCCCCGCCCCCTGCTTCCGGTCGCCCCGCTTCTGGCCCTTATTCAGCCAGGAAGAGGCAGGAGAAGAGGGAGAGTAAGTTGCTTCCTCCCTGCCTCTCCCCACCCCTGCCTGCCTGGGGCAAGGGAGGGCCTTTGCGGGGCTTCCTCGCACTCCCGCCGGCCTTAATGAGTTATGCTAATGAGTTCCCCTAGCTCTTTTTCTACGAAACGACCCCTGATGCCTATGATTATGATAAATTTTAACAAGCTAATTGCTGATACATCACTGGATTTAGACAGATGGGCAATCTTCTCTTTTTGGAGCAAAGTAAATACACTCAAAATGAATATTATACCTAGGAGTATTTATATTTTATATGAAATTCTTTTTCATATACCTTGTAAATATATATATATTTATAAAAGTAATACTTTATTTTGGAAACTTATGTTGGGTTCCTTACCACCTCAGATTTCATTAAAGAGGATGCAGCTCCCATTTAATGAAGTAGGATTTGAATGCCTGATCTTAAGTTTGTATCATGGGGCATATTTGTTAACTTGTAGTACTTGCTGGGATTACTCCTTGCAGTTGGACTATCACCTTGGGCTCTTTCAGAGGCTTCTTGTCTGGTGCCCCTCTCTAAGTAGAATGCATTAGAGTCTACTTATGCTAGAGTTGATAGTGTTCCTCCTGCAATTTCTGCAGCTAGAGGACTATGGTGCATAAAGTCACAACAATATCAATTTTGTCAATTTTCACATGCTAAATTAACATTAGGGGCCAATGCAGAGCTACCACATTGAGAAGAACTCTTTTTTATGGAAGGCTTGCACTGATAGGGGTCTAGATACGACTTGTCAACTTCTGTTGAATGGCAATTTTTACAATTGTAAATCTGTTGGTATCTAAATATGGCCCTGTGGCATTAAGAGTCTCAGAGGCCCCTTTGATTCTGGAAACACTAATTGAATTGATGCATAAAACAAACCTACAGTATTTGTTTATAAATATTTGATGCCAATTAATAATGATATGCAGAGTCTTAGGAACAAATGGAATAAGGAGGTAGGTTGCCCTATTTTCCCAAAGCAATGGGATATGGCTTTAAAGTTTATACTTGCTCTCTCTATGGATCTTAAGCTGCAACTTATTCAGCAAAGAAAAAAATAGGTTTAGGATATACTGGACACCAAAGTGACTTTTAGTAACAGACTAAGTAAAGTATCTAATTGTTGGTGTTGCAACTCACAGGACACGTCATATAAACATATGCTTTGGGCATGTCCAGTAATTTGGTTTTTCTGGGAAGATTTTATTACTCATATCAATTCTGTATTAGAATGTTCATTGATTTTGGAGGATGCTTACGTACTTTTAAACTATCTGCCTGTCTCTTGGAGGTTATCCAATAGTCAAGGAAAACGGACCCTCTGTGCCCTTTCTACAACTAAGACTTGTATTACAACACTGGAGAGATAAATGCCCACTCCCATAAATCTATGGATTGGGGACTTTACAGCTCTTATCAATATTTGAATGCATGGCGTATAGGTAACAATTACATATAGACTTACTTTAAAATACTTGGAAATCTTTTATAGAAATTTATGTGTAGATCTGCCACCACTTTTGTTATATTTTTGTTTGTATGTTTTTCCCCTCCCCCCTTTTGTTAGTTACTGAATTTTGAGTCCCCCCCCTTCTTGTACTTTTTTAAAAAGAAAAAAATACACACTGACTATTTGAATAGGCATAAGGTTATATACCACTCATAAATACAGATGCATTCATTACCCACAGTACTTATTCAAGTGAGCTTAATAGAATACCTATTAACAATGACAGAGCAGTTCCTACAATGATTCTCACAGGTGTCTATTGGATAATCATCCAGAAGACCCTGATAATTGCATCTATCAACAGGGCCATAGCCAGCAGTGGGGCATACGGGGTTCCACCACTTTTGCATTTACAGCGCCCCCACCCAGCCACCAGGTCTCCTTCATGGCCTTTTCTGGATGCTCAGTGGGTGGGCGCAGCTACAGCAGCAGGCTACCAAGTGTGCCATGCTGGCCAGGGGCTGACCATCAGCCTGCAGGGTAAGGCAGTGCCGGGTCAGCCAAGAGACCGCTGCAGCTGCTGAAATCAGAATTACAAACCATGGAGTTTAAAATGGCAATGATCAATTCTATAGGTATGCCTTTTTAGAGAGTATGACCTTTTCTATTTTGTGTAAGTCAAAGAAGCCTACGCTGCATATGACTGCAACCCAAGAAAAAGAGCATTCCTCCTCAGCAACAACAAAAAAATGCTGTGTAACTTTCTTTTCCTTAGCTAGCAATAGCAACCCTGGACTTTTGTGGTCTTCAGGATCCTGGTCATTTTATAAACAGGTCACCAGATCAATACTGTAGGCACATAAGAATATCCATTTTCTTTCACAGCGAACACCAAATTCTATAAATAACCCAAATAATGTTTGGTCAACAGATGACAGAAGACACTGCTAATGATTGTGAATAGGCCTACTTCGCTGTAGGCTTGCCAGCTCTGGGAATATATCTAGAGATCTGTGGGCCTGAGGAGGGTGGGACCCATGAACTGTATATTTTATGGACAATAAAGGCACTGTGCAATAGATTAATAGTTTTATGATGCATGAAAGATACCAGACTGCTAAGCAAAGAAGAATGACTCTATCAATAGAGGGAGGCTATTTAGCAGCACATAATGAGCTATTAGTTAAGATCTGTGTGAGCTCACCTGCAGAGGTAAGCTAGATGTGCCAAAAAAAGACATGGGCTTTTTAGCTGCAGCTCCTTGGTTGTGGAATTCCCTCTCCCACAGTTGTTCACCAAGCACCACTCTTGTTGAGTTTTTTAAAAATTATCCCATGCATTTGTTTTCCTGCTTCTCCCAGGCTTTAATCTGTTGCTGCTTCTCAGAAATCATTTGCACTGATTTCATTTTATGCTGGACTAGGGTTGCCAACCCCCAGATGGTTGTATCAATATAAAGACCGTGAATGAATTACAAACAAAAGCAGAAAGATTATATTGCACAAAACAATTCAAACAGTTTTAAATCTTTGTTAAAGTTCGCCCCATTGACATGTTCTCTTTCTGCCAATTAGGCTTCTACAATAGTGGTGGTGGTGAACACTCAACATTCACCATTAAGTATGTACTGACAACCTGCAGTCACATTATTCTGACACACATCAGTACATAAAAACAGGTTGCTTTCCTGTAACTGATGATCTTCGAGTCATCATATAGTATGCCTGTGCTGACCTCTATCGGTTCCTCTTGAAAGTGAAAGGGATTTTTGCACCTGCTCCCGTCACGTGCCGGCCGCACTGCGCATGACCAAGGGAGGGGCACAACAATCCCACCAGTTCCTTCTGACCACTGCCAGTCTCAGAGTAATAAAAAGAAGAGGATTGAAAGCAGAGGGGAAGGAGGGCGGGTGGTCATAAGTTAC